AAAGACGGTCTAGGTGCTGTCTTATACCAGGAACAGGAAGAGACAATGCGAGTCATTGCGTACGCCTCTCGGAGTCTGACGAATGCAGAAAAGAACTATCACCTCCATGCAGGAAAATTAGAATTTCTGGCACTCAAATGGGCAATCACCGACCACTTCCGTGATTATTTATATTACGCGCCTGAATTTACGGTTTATACCGATAACAATCCATTAACATCCGTTTTAACATCTGCACGACTTAATGCCACAGGCTTAAGATGGATTGGAGAACTGGCCGACTTTAAGTTCAACATCCGTTATCGTCCAGGAAAACTCAATGGAGACGCCGATGCATTGTCCAGAATGCCTATGAATATTGACGATTATATGAAAACATGCAGTGAAGAAATTAATCGCGACGCTTTCCAAGCGACTGTTTGTGGAGCAAAAGTACAGGTCGAACAGTTTCAAACACCTTTGCTCTTTCCTCCTGAGATTACTCGAGCGGATGTTAGTTTAAACCAAACATCTATAAATTTGAAGACAGCACAGAATGACGACGCAGATATTGACCGCGTCATAACACTTAAAATAGCGAACACGTATTTGTCTCCTCATGAAAGAAAGCAGGAAAGCCACACTGTACAGCAGCTGTTAAGAGAATGGAATAAGTTAAAAGTGGGGACTGATGGAGTTCTGTACCGACTAGCAGGAACAGTCCGTCAAGTTGTACTACCTGGACGTCTACGTCAACAAGTTTATAAAGAGTTGCATGAAGAAATGGGTCATTTGGGTTCTGAACGCGTCATTGACTTGGCTCGAGAACGATTTTTTTGGCCTCACAAGAAACAAGATATAACTCACTTCGTCACGAAAGTCTGTCATTGCTTAAAGAGTCGGAAACCCGTAAGAAACCAACGTGAACAATTACATCCAATCGTAACCACCGCACCCTTCCAAATGGTCTCTATCGACTACCTTCACCTCGAAACAAGCGTAGGAGGCTATCAATACATCCTGGTTGTTATGGACCACTTTACGAGGTATGCTCAAGCTTACGCGACTCGTGACAAATCAGCTAAGACCGCTGCAGACAAACTCTATAACGACTTTATCTTGCGCTATGGCTTCCCTGAGAGGATACACCACGACCAAGGTGCTGAGTTCGAGAATAAACTTTTCTTTAACCTGGAAAAAGTAAGCGGAATTAAACACTCTCGGACAACCCCTTATCACCCCGAAGGTAATGGGCAAGTTGAACGATTTAATAGAACGCTCTTGTCAATGCTTCGATCCTTGCCAGAAAAATACAAAAGTCGCTGGCGTGATCATCTCCAGAAAGTCGTACATGCATTCAATTGTACCAGAAATGACGCGACAGGATACTCCCCATTCCTCCTACTCTTTGGCAGACCCCCGCGATTGCCAATTGACCTTATGTACGGTCTGAAACCCCCACCTGGCCATAGCACTTACCCTGAATATGTCAAGAAATGGCGAGAATCAATGTCCGAAGCATACCAACTTGCATCTGAAAAGGCAGAAAAGAACGCTACGAGTGGGAAAGTGCAATATGACAAGAAAGCTAAGAGTACGAGTCTACAACCCGGTGATCGTGTGTTAATACGAAATGTGAAAGAAAGGGGTGGTCCTGGCAAGTTACGGTCGTATTGGGAAAACAAAGTTTACAAAATCGTGCGTCAGAAATCAAATGAGATTCCCGTGTATGAAGTCATTCCTGAGAGTGGCGGGGAGAAGACAAGAGTACTGCATAGAAACATGCTATTCCCATGTACGTATCTTCCTGTGGAGAATCCTATTGTGAAACCAGCTCAGTTAAAAAAGAAAAAGAAGAGTGAGAAGGAGAAACAGGTCACACAACATTATCTGACAGATAGTGAAGACGAGTTCGAGATTGCTACGTTTGCACCTGAATTAACGCGGACAGATCCAGAGGATGAATTCGTGCCAGTGTCGGTTGAAAATGAAGCCCAGCAGAGTGTTGAGGAAGCTGTACAAAAAGGTGCCACACCAGAAGAACTAGCTCAAGAGAGTCAAGCGGCGACTGGTACCACGGTAGCAGCGGAGGCTGAGACACAAGTTGATTCACACCCAGTTAGTTCACAACGAGTACGACGACCACCAACCAGACTGGGATATGGCAATTTGGGCCAACCAACGGAACATTGGACCAGTATTAACGCGGTCCATGCACCTGCCACAAACAACATGTATCTACACCAATACCCTGTGCTCCCGACACCTCCAATACCGTTCTTTCCCCAATACTTCCTATGTCATTACCTGTATTTCCATTATATTGGTCAAGTTGGCAAGGACCAATTATGCCATCAAACATATGGTGTTAGACACTGATATCAAGAGTCACGAAATCAGAAAACGAAAATTGTTGAAATTGCCATCATGTTGCGAATAATTACTGTTAGAAAACAGAAACAATAAAACTTTACAAGAGTTAAATTTCCAGGAAAAGTTCCTGACCAACAAGAAGTGAAAGCGGGGCCCGAAAAGATAAAGAAACACTTAGTTTAGATTACTGTCTACGTTCAATATTTGTGAGTCTGATCAACTCACACAGTTGACCAAGAAGTAACCAAGATGAGTACAGACTATAGCGTTAAATGTTGGGCTATATAAAAGATAATAAGGACAGCTTAAATTATAGGAGGGGTGAGTGTAGGATGCCCATTAGCAATACGTCATGTAACATTAGTTAAATAGGAACTATTGCATCATGCAGTTGTGACAGTTACCATAGTAACGAGAAAGGACAGACAAACAGATTTCCAAGATGGCGATTAATAAACCACGTTATTAATGTTCACATTGTTTTACGAAATAAATTGTGCTTTCTACTGTTTTAATACGTGAATTATGGGATAGATCGAGAATTTAGTGAGCGGGCAACAGAAACCTAAACTAAACTAACGTTATTTATACTGAATAGCTTTATCAGTTCTAAACTGTTCTCCCTAGATGTCCAGTAAGGATCATCTATTATTGATCGAGTGTTACTACAGGAGGAAACCTAATCCAAACTAACTTTATGTATAATTGATAGCCCTATCAGTTCTAAACTGTTCTTACTAGAGGTCCAGTAAAAGCTAACTTTTATTGATCCAGTGTTAATTACTTAATTGTGAGGTTCATATATGTAGTTTTCTAGCTTTTAGGTTGAAAAAATCATTAACCACGGCTGATTTTTTATTATTCTTTGTTGCAGAAGTAAAAGCAGGCTGTCATTCTGGGGCTTGTGATCAATTGCAGTGTCCTGAAAAATATTTCTGTTATGACAAATGGAGAGCGAGTGAATGTCTGCGGTGACACTGTGTGATAGAACGTCAACGTTGTCTGAATGGTGCTACATGTCGTGATTATGCTGTGAATGGTGTGTCCATGTACCAGTGTGTGTGCAGAGAAGGATTTAATGGTTCTCGTTGTCAGACTGGCTCTCGCATTATTAGACTGAGTGCTGATCACACTGTAAAAACTAATTGATCGAAATGACCAAAAAAAATTGGTCACCTGGATGCATCTGAGAGAACCAATTGTCATATATTCCTATATATTGTATTAGTTAATTTAGTTTTGTTATTGTTAAAAGATATATTTAGTTGATTAAAGTAAGTAGGAAATAACTTAGATTCCTCAGCCATGGGCTAGGATTATCTCATTGGAACAGTATTTTGTTAATGATAAGTTGTGAACTCACCGGACGTACATGTCACTTGCATGTATATTAAGATAGGTAAAATGATTGTAAACTGATTGTCTTAGTCAGTTGGCCATTGTGGCACAGGACTGAAAGTTGTAACAAGGATTGTTTTTAAATATATATGGAAAAGTTGTGAAATGTGTGTTAGTAGTAATATAGAGGCCGTTCGGGCCGGATTTTTGAGGTGGTGGATGAGGTGGTGTGAGGTGGTGGAGTGTAAAGTGGTGGAGTTTGAGGTGGTGGATGAGGTGGTGGATGAGGTGGTGGAGTTTGAGGTGGTGTGAGGTGGTGTCAGGTGGTGTCAGGTGGTGGAGTTTGAGGTGGTGGGTGTCCACCACCTCATTTATAATTAATACTCGTACAAATGAGGAGAAGTAATGACGTCACTCATTAACATACGTCATAATTATGTGGGGGCGGCGCAGCATCATTAACATACGTCATAATTACATACAATGACGTCACGCGGGCAGGATCAGGCAAATAATGACGTCACGCGGGCGAGCTCAAACACGATTGGGCGAAACTTGCTGACTACGCATTTTTTAGCGTCCCCCACGTGTGCGACACAATAGTTAGGGCTATATACAAGAGAATATGTTGTTGTCTGGAGTTTTATAAGTACAGCTCTAGCATTTTGCTGTTATTGTCAAGTGATTTCTTTAATTTAGCTCCTAGAGGAGTAAAAAATCTGAGACTATATGAAATAGCATTAGTGTTATATATCCAAAACTTATATATTCGGGGTATACAGCTATATGTTTTATATAAATATTATGAAGCGTCAAAACGGTGAGAAATAGCATGTGGTAAGAGTTATTATGTATCTACAATTGAACTAATATTTAAATCCCGGTCTGCCATATGAGGTCTATATGCGAGAGAATATGTTGCTGTTTAGAGTTATATAAACACATGGAAATTAGAGGTTATGATATATAATTGTCAAGCGATTTCTATATTTTAGTGGTAGTTTTTTAAAGTACTAAAACTCGGATCGGATAAGGTTAATAAATTTAAGCTATACAGGGTGTCCCAAAAAACCCGGAAACTATTGAAATCACCAATAACAATTTAATTGTTAGAATTTGAATGCCTTAGCGCTCTGTTGGTTCCCACGAGTGCATAAATGATTGACAGAAGTAAATTTTATGCATAAAGAAACTGTTTAAGAAGCTGTTTTTAATTCCCAGGAGCAGAAAATCGCGCACTTTACTAGGAGATATTCCTAACTAAATTCTAATACATGCACCTTGTCAATATTTTACGCATCATTACGTCCAGCTGTTTGGTAGGGCATTCAAATTTAACAATAAGTGATTTCTATAGTTTCCGTTTTTTTTGGGACACCCTGTACAGTAAAGCACACCGGTTGCTATGTGTTGTTAGGGTGAAACTAATTAAAGGATTAACTTTTATCAGAGATTTGCATTTTTCTACTGTGTGGATAAATACGGGTAGATTAGGATATTCATTGCGCGGGCGTCGCGGGTTATCCGTGCGGGAAGAGAGAAAGCAATTTAGGCAAGACAAGAGCGCTTTGCAGCCAAAAGTTTACACAAGAATTCAGTCTTAAAATACATTTATTTCTTCGAGACGTTTACAAAGTTAATGTGGTCTACTTCTTAGAGCACAATGTGTTTGATTTTATTTAAATTACGCAGAACAATTTAAATTTTTTTGTAATAAGAGTCGTTTGGTTCAATTATTCATTCGCCATGGTTTCTTTAACAAAGGTTCGGACCGTTGGCTCGTCTTCGTGCAGATTCACCCACTTCATACGACCCGATTAGTTCATTATTTTGACAGGCCAATAATTTTCTCCGCCGATGTAGACTCCCGGATGGCTAGGATTAAAAATATTGCGCGATGACTTATACATCTCTGTGATAACATATCCTTCGGGAATGTTACGGACCACCTGTGCTTCCTTGGTGTAGTTTTGCCATTCGGAGATAGTTGCATCCGACCAGGTAATATGCCTCTGATGTTTAAGTTGTTTCCTTCTAGGTTTGGTTTCGACCGGTGTGGGCTCGATACTAGTACTGTTCACTTTAGTTTGGGTGGCGAAGAGATAAACACGGCAGTCGCCAAACAGGTCCCCAAGAACTTGCTTATCTGCTGGTGTATCAGGCTTGTTATCCACCAACAAGTATCCAAACGGTTTTTCAGTCTCTTTGTAATAAGCGTTCATAAAGTGGACTCTATTCTTATCAAACATTCGTTCTCCAACAATTCCAATTTGTTTCCTATCACTAGGACTTCGGAAGAGAGCAAGATATTGGGCATTTCGGCTAATATCTGTATTGAATTTCCCCTTAGGAAACATGTTCTGAAGCAAAAGGATAACACTAGCGTTTCTATGACGTCCCTGGGTAAATAATCGAGCTATACCACAGGACTGTCTGTCGCTTCGGCCATCAAATCATCCAGTATGATTACGTTGTTGTACCGGGTATTAATCTCACTCAGATCCTCGGACAACTCGGGCAAACCTCTTTGAAATCGGATGCTTTTCCCAAGGGACTTTTTTAACTCATCGTAACGATCTTGCCATTGATTGTAGCACCAATGAATGCGAATACTTCTCTGCTCCTCGTACACGATACGATTGTTTTCCAATATTTGTTGGATGGCTCCTAACTCCTATACTCCTGGCCCTACATCGAACCTACATCGACCCTACATCGACCCCACATCGACCCCACATCGACCCTACATCGACCCTACATCGACCCTACATCGACCCTACATCGACCCTACATCGACCCTACATCGACCCTACATCGACCTTACATCGACCCTACATCGACCCTACATCGACCCTGCATTGACCCTACATCGACCCTGCATCGACCCCACATCGACCCTATACATCACACCCACATGTCGCCGTAAAAAAAAAAATATATATATATATATATATATATATATATATATAAATGTTTTCAAACCATTTATTCTCGGTCATTTATGATTGAACTTTCAAAGTGTCAACATGCCCTATAAGCACAAAAGATACTGTCCTCTCTGTAACAAGCCTTGTCTTCTATATATAAGTGATCATTTGCGCCAAGTACATAACTTATACGGAGATCAAAGGAAAAAGTGGTTAGGAAGGGCGATGTTCTCAGCACCGCATAGCCACAACTCAAGTTTGCTGCCCATACGACCGGCACATATACTACAAGAAATGAAATGTGTTCGAAAGAAAACAAGGTCTGTACTAAAACCAACAAAAACCGTACCGAAAGTTACAGCATCTTTGACCACCAAACCCTATCCAGAATTCAACTTCCGCCATAAATTTTCGCTGATGGTTGTGGGTCCGAGCCAAAGTGGGAAAACTTATTTTGTCCAACAAATATTGGAAAACAATCGTATCGTGTACGAGGAGCAGAGAAGTATTCGGATTCATTGGTGCTACAATCAATGGCAAGATCGTTACGATGAGTTAAAAAAGTCCCTTGGGAAAAGCATCCGATTTCAAAGAGGTTTGCCCGAGTTGTCCGAGGATCTGAGTGAGATTAATACCCGGTACAACAACGTAATTATACTGGATGATTTGATGGCCGAGGCGACAGACAGTCCTGTGGTAGCTCGATTATTTACCCAGGGACGTCATAGAAACGCTAGTGTTATCCTTTTGCTTCAGAACATGTTTCCTAAAGGGAAATTCAATACAGATATTATTGGATACTTGTTGGTGGATAACAAGCCTGATACACCAGCAGATAAGCAAGTTCTTGGGGACCTGTTTGGCGACTGCCGTGTTTATCTCTTCGCCACCCAAACTAAAGTGAACTGTACTAGTATCGAGCCCACACCGGTCGAAACCAAACCTAGAAGGAAACAACTTAAACATCAGAGGCATATTACCTGGTCGGATGCAACTATCTCCGAATGGCAAAACTACACCAAGGAAGCACAGGTGGTCCGTAACATTCCCGAAGGATATGTTATCACAGAGATGTATAAGTCATCGCGCAATATTTTTAATCCTAGCCATCCAGGTGTCTACATCGGCGGAGAAAATTATTGGCCTGTCAAAATAATGAGCCAATCGGGTCGTATGAAGTGGGTGAATCTGCACGAAGACGAGCCAACGGTCCGAACCTTTGTTAAAGAAACCATGGCGAATGAATAATTAAACCGAACGACTCTTATTACAAAAAAAAATTTAAATTGTTCTGCGTAATTTAAATAAAATCAAACACATAATGCTCTAAGAAGTAGACCACATTAACTTTGTAAACATCTCGAAGAAATAAATATATTTTAAGACTGAATTCTTGTGTAAACTTTTGGCTGCAAAGCGCTCCTGTCTTGTCTAAATCGCTTTCTCTCTTCCCGCACGGATAACCCGCGACGCCCGCGCAATGAATATCCTAATCTACCCGTATTTATCCACACAGTAGAAAAATGCAAATCTTTGATAAAAGTTAATCCTTTAATTAGTGTCACCCTAACAACACATAGCAACCGGTGTGCTTTAATATAACTTAAATTTATTAACCTTATCCGAGTTTTAGTACTTTAAAAACCTAGCAATAAAATATAGAAATCGCTTGACAATTATATATCATAACTCTAAACAGCAACATATTCTCTCGTATATAGACCTCATATGGCAGACCGGGATTTAAATATTAGTTTAATTGTAGATACATAATATACAATTACTTTTGCCCGCTTTTCTTAACTCGAGCAACATTCCCAAGTGTTTGGATCATTCCATCCAAACACGGAAACCATAAAGTAATTGTTTTATAAAATAACAACAACACGATAGTCTTCCGTGTATGGATGGCCTGATCCAAACACGGGTTTCGACCAATCAGAATACGCGTTATGTACATGTTATTTTATAATAACTTTTACCGCATGCTATTTCTCAGCGTTTTGACGCTTGATAATATTTATATATTACTTAACAACAAAACATATAGCTGTATACCCCGAATATATAAGTTTTAGATATATAACACTAATGCTATTTCATATAGTATCAGATTTTTTACTCCTCTAGGAGCTAAATTAAAGGAATCACTTGACAATAACAGCAAAATGCTAGAGCTGTACTTATAAAACTCCAGACAACAACATATTCTCTTGTATATA